CGAATATTCATGGGACAGGAAACTGCGATTATACGCCGGGGTTATTGGACTTCGGCGGTTTAATTATTTGCGGAGAATTAAAAGCGAGATGCGGGCCAATTATTCGTTTTTCGGTTTACCGGCTTCCGACGTTCCGGTTTTCGCGTTCTCCGTTCTCCGGTGGTCTAGTTTCTGCTTTATGCTCTTCACTTTTACGGTTTGTAGCGGTTACCTTCTGTTCTCCACTTTTGTACTTTGTCGCGTTTATTTTCTCTGCTTTCGTAGTGTTCCTCTGTTTTCGCGTATTCTGTTTCTCTGCGCTATGTTCTAATTCTTCGCCGCTTCTGTAGTTTGTATATTTCGTTTTCTATCCTCCGTTTTGCATTCTTCACTTTCCCGTTCCTCCATTTCTGGCTTTTTGTTTTTGTTATTCCTCTATGTTTCTGTGCTCTAATTCCTGACCGCTTCTATAGTTTCTGTATTTTGTTTTCTATCCTCCGTTTTGCATTCTTCACTTTTCCATTCCTCCAATTCTGTTTTCCGTTTTTATTATTCCTCGATGTTTCTATGCCCTAATTCCTGACCTACTTCCATAGTTCCCATATTCCGTACTCTATTCTCCGTCTTCCATTCTCAGCTGTTCCACTTCTATATCCAACTTCCCTATATTCTAACGCTCTAGAATCTACGCTCTATTCACAATTACTCAGAAACAACAGACAAAGAAGCAGAACAAACGCGTTGAGAATATAATTGAAAATAATGGCGAGACACGGAGGATCGAGAGCTCCAGAAACGAACGTTCCAACGTTCCTAGTAACAGCTTCGATCATTTTAATAGTCATTAGGCGGGAAATCCTCCGCATCGGAAACAATTACAGAACGCCGGACGTTAATTCGTAGTTACGGTTCTCGCGCAATCAAGCGGCCCCCCGTAAAGGGAATAATTTCGACTTTTAACAAGTTGTAAGACGAGAAAGGGCGAGCGGAAGGGGGAGACGGGCGTAGATCATGATCCGACTTTATATAAAATTGAAGCGAGCTGCCGGAAGATTTACGATCGCTAACAAGCTGCATCGGCGGAGCAGGATATTGTTGCTCCCTCCCGCGGAGGATCCTCTTCTTTCTTAAGATATCGACTTCCCCGGGCGGCGCTCTCATTAATTATTTTCGTGGATAAACGTCCCGGGAAACCGAAGTCGGCCCGGGACCGCCCCCGGCGTAATCCCTGCGGAAATATTTTTTCGCGGCCCCCTCAGGCCGGGAACGAGACGGGACATCGGTGGAATGTATTCTAATAATATTTGATGTTTGAGCTGGGAAAAGTGCAATCCATTTGCCTCCGTGAATTGCGGTGGCTCGCAGTGAAAGAACACCGCCTCTGGTCAGGCGACGCCCGACTGCGCAGAACAAAAGCAAACCCGACGCGAACGTCCCTCGATTGGATTTGAAAATTCCCTGAGTGCTTCTCGCCAATTACAACGGGAATTCCAAAGACTGTGTTTATTCAACCGGAAGTAGTCTCTTGTAAATTACATTCGCCAACGAATCTTGGTGAATCGTTTCGAATTCATTAGATACAACTAAGTCAGATATTTACAATTTCTGTGTGATTTATAAAGATCTAGGAGATAGTGATTAAAGGTGCACTTCGTTAAAGAGAAACATTGAATAAAAAGAATTGTTTCCCCGAGATCGTTCGATTGAATTTCGAATTCACGCAAACTCCGGTCGATCAATTAATCGAACCATCCCCATCGGTTCCAAAGTCTCTTGTAAATTACATTCGCTGACTAATCCTGGTAAATCATTTCGAATTCGTTACATACAACTTATTCACATATTTACAATTTCTGTGTGATTTATAGAGATCTACGAGGTACCGATTAACCCCTTGTCCTATAACGAGTGAGACTCGTGGTGAAGATTTTCAACATGATTCAACAAATACATGTATTACTCGGTTCATTCGAATTCAAAGTAAATATTATTCTTCTGTAATCAATTATTATATTGCAGGGAACACATAGGCTTAGAAAATGCACAGAATTTTTCTCGTTTTTTAATGAATTGTCAATGCCGAAGTAATTGTATCGATCACAGTTGAGAAACAAATCATAGGGCAAGGGGTTAAAGGTGCACTTCGTTAAAGAGAAACATCGAATGAAAAGAATCGTTTCCCTAAAATCCTCCGATTGAACTCTGGTCGACCAATTAATCGAACCATCCCCATCGGTTCCGAAGGCATCTGGGTAGAATCATTCCCGAGAAACATTAACATCGGAAGAAGCTCGCCAGGAAACCCAGAACGACTCTCCCTTTAACGAACCCACCGTGCGAACAAAGAACTCATTAATTAGACCGTTCCGCCGCGGAATGCATATTTATGAAACGCGGCTAATTTCCTTCGTCGAATGCAATTAAACTTATTATCAATATCGCGGGGGGCCCGTGGAAAAAATGTTGAACGGTGTCGCCGTCACGTTAACGGCGCGCAAACAACGCGTTGTTCGAGCTAATGAACGAGGCGAGCGAACAAAACGAACCGCCCCTCTCTCTCCCTCCTTTCGCTCCCATTTCGAGCGGAAGAATGAGGAGGAACGGCGGAGGGGGGAAGAAGGGGAATCCATTTCCTCGCTGCCGCCACGACGATAGTAACAGTAATAGTAATAATAATAATTACGAGCCCTTTTATTGCCGGCGCTCCGGTATCGGGTTTCCTATTCCCTGCCCCTGTCCCTCGCGCGCCCTTTTGTTCGGAGGACGCGGGGCGGTTCTTAGCGCCGAACCACTTTTATTCGGCCGGATCCGTGGGAAGACCGCTCGTAAATCGCCGGCCGAAGCCGATTTACTCGACGTTAATGCCCCGGGAATCGGCGGGATCGAGCCGAGCCGCGCTCACGGGTCTCGGGTCCCGCGGCGCGCGGTTTTCACCGGTGATTTCGGGGATGAAAGGCGACTTAACGACGCGGAACGCGAACGACACTTCTGATATTTCCAACGAACCTATCCGCGGAGGTGCCTTATTTGCTACCTACCCGCCGATTTTATCGCCGCCCGTTTCCTTACAACTTTTCTGCCGAGTTTCTCCTTCTTGTTCTCCTGTTTCCTCTCTGTTGTTTAGCCACTGACCGATTTTTTCGGGGTATCCCGTGGTTCATCGGTGGATCGCGAGGATTTATGGGGAACTCGGGGGTGTATTAGATAATTAACGTGTGCTTGTTGCGGTATTGTTTAGAAGCCCGTTGTTCTACTTTTGTGCCGAGTTTCTGTTTCTTATTTTTTTGTTTCCTCCCTGTTGTTTCGACACTGACCGGTTTTTTCGGGGTTTCCCATGGTTCACTGGTGGATCGCGAGGATTTATGGGGAATTCGAGAATTGAACTCGGAAGTGTGTTAGATAATTAACGTGTGCTTGTTGCGGTATTGTTTAGAAGCCCGTCGTTGTTCTACTTTTGTGTAATCGAGAATTTAAGTTTGAAGCACTGGTTGATGAGAGAGGGTTGGATTAGAAGAACTTTATTTTTTGAGAATTTTTGGGAATTTGTGATTTTTATAACTGGGACGTTGTGGTAGAATCTCTGTTTCAGTGTAGAATTTCGATATTCATCAGTGTAGAGTTGTACGGAAATTTTGTTAAACACGAAACACTTTTCTGTAATTCCGTGTACGAGATAGTCAAATTGAATAAAATCGTGAAATATTTGAAGCTCGAAAGTGGATTGCAATCGCATTCCGCGAACTATTTGCGAAGCAACCGCAGCATCGGATAACATATCCGCCAGGCACCGTCAATCTTCGTTACCAATTTCTAACTACGTTACTATCGCAAACACTCCTCATTTATCTACAAAACGAACACAAACAGCGTAAACAGAATTCGTAAACATCATATTCCACTCGTCTACCATTCCGAATTCACCCGGTGACTTTGAAAAAGGAAACGAACGAGCGATAAATCCCGTGAAACGCTATCAAATGAAATCGAAAAAATTCCATCATCAGACCGCGTTCCCCTTGTTCGTCATTCAATCTCTTCTCCCCCCTTTTCTACCCTTTACTCCAACCAGCAGAAGACAAAGGTTCTTAAAACGAGAAACTTCTGTTACGCGAAAAATGACAGTAGGACACTCACTGTCAATCGATACGCGTGTCCGGCAAGACGCACTGATTGGCCGCTCGGTAGATGCTCCTTTTTCCTATAAATATGCCGACTGTTTTTCCTTGAGCATCAGTTAACAACATCAACTCGCGAAATCAACAACCAGCCAGTCTCAACAACAAACGTAGAAACAATCATCCAAAATCAACCTCTGTGTCGATGAAATCGTTAGAATCACTGTATTACTTCAACATTGTACTTTAAGCGTGAAATTATATTTTTTGGTGAAACTAAACAAACCAGTTCAACAACCTCATTACCCTATCACTGCAAGAAGTAGGGTCCGAGCATGAATCGCGAAGTCGCAACAGAATCAACGACTAACCTCGTCGCGACGCGTTCGCGAACAATAGAAATTATTCACGCGTCGCCTATGGAATCGTCGCTCGGTAAAATCCCATACCTCCGAAACGATTCTCGTAACGACAGAAATTGAAAGTCCAGTTTCACCATAACAGCTCTCTTAACCCATTGCACTCGAGAGCACGTGCATCAAAATATATCAAACACAGCGCAATTATAAAATCAATTCCCTTTTCTCAATTTCCACTGAAAAACTTTCGAGTACCCTATCACTGTAAGAAGTAGGGTCCGAGCGTGAGTCGCGAAGTCGAAAACAGAATGAACGACTAACCTCGTCGCGGACGCGCTCGCGAACAAGTTCCATCGATAAAATCCACGTGGCTCTTCGGAGGATTCTGTTTATACGTTTATGTCGGACGCGAGCGTTTGTTTGTTCTCCAAACAAGCGCGAGGGAGAGATAGAGAGACAGAAGGTGACAGAGAGAGAGAGTGAGTGAGTGGGAGTACTGTGTTTGCACGGTCGACCAGACCGAATCAATTTCTGCTTTTGGTTTCAGTGTCCACGTACGATGGAGAACAATTAAACTTGACGAAGATCACGCGCAATGAAATGGGCGCGTACCTGTGCATCGCGACCAATGGCGTGCCGCCAACAGTCAGCAAGAGGATCATCGTGGACGTAGAGTGTGAGTGGACGCTTCAAGATAGCTATTATCATTCCGCGAGCGTGTCCCGACGACGAGCCTCGCGTAACCTCCCTTTAATCGAACTCTGTACATATTAACGCTTTGCGCTCGAAAGGTGACTGTCAGTCACCACTTGATTCGATACAGCAAAACTATGAAGTTGAATATTCAGTATTTTGGATTAAAATTATATTTTGCAATGTGAAATATTTAAATGAAATAGCTTTGTTGCTTAATTTGTCTGTGAATTATCGTTAAATTAGTTTGGAACAATGTCGTCTTTATCTCGTCAGAAAATGTCCAAATATTTCTGCTGAGAAACTTCCTCGTCTCTCAGTCATCAAATGATTCGATACAGCAAAACTATGGGGTTGAATATTCAGTATTTTAAATTAAAATTATATTTTGCAATGTGAAATATTTAAATGAAATAGCTTTGTTGCTTAATTTATCTGTGAATTTTCGTTAAATTAGTTTCAAACAATGTCGCCTTTATCTCGTCAGAAAATGTTCAAATATTTCTACTGAGAAACTTCCTCGTCTGTCAGACATCAAATGATTCGACGTAGAAAACTGTAAAATTTTTTGGTGACATTTTTCTGGCAGTACCAACTAGTCGAGGAAAATATTGATATTTTCAGAGTTATTTTTGTATAGGTAGTTTGTAATGAATATATGGATGTCAAAAGTTTGTTGAATATAAATTCTGTAAAGAATAATAAACACAGTACCTCTCTATCGTAAAATAACATTGTATTCAGAAAAAAAGGACGTGCCGCCATATTGCGACACAGATTTCGAATACCGATCGCAAAGGGTTAATATCAGACAATACATAATGTATCGATATATGAAATATTGAAAGGAAATAGTATTCTTAACAAATGCTAACAATGCTTATCACTCCACGTAGTTTTGCGATATATCAGCAACTCCTACCAATTTTGATAGTAGTCCTGAAAATGAACAATGTTATAACATTTCTTAGACTTTTAATTCCCTTCTCAGTATAAACTTTGTATATTTGGAAGACCTAATAATCTTAAGGTAGTTTTCTTTAAATTCATTAAAATATTTAATATTAGAACTGGCGCAATATTGGAACTTACAAAGTTCAAGGGTTAAAGGTTCACTTTTGAATGAATCTGATGAGTCACAGTTCACTTAGGAATGCGAATGGGTTCAGTGATATAGAGTAATAGATACTTCATTTGAGCTTATATTTTAGAGCTCTTCCGTTGTTAATGAAGAATTATGAAAATTTGAAGCGTAAGAGACAAAAGAAAATAGAATTTTGATAATATTGTTAATACAGGAGTATACAAGCACAAGGATGGTAGGTAGAATATGGTAGAATTTTGATAATATTATTAATATAGAGCTGCGCGGACTGAAGCGCGAGAAATAGAGTACAGTAGAATCTTGATAATATTATTAATATATTATAGAACCATGCAAGCTGAGGCGTGAAATGTGGAATTCAGTCGAGTCTTGACAATGTCGTTAATGTAGAACTGTGCAAACTGAAGCGTGAGATATCGAATACATCAGACTCTCTATAATATACGCAACTTGAGATTGCTATTCCTTATTACCTCCCTCAAACTCAAAACAATTCCAAAGGGAACCTAAGAAAATTCCTAACCAAAGCTAGCAACGATACGAACAATGATACAGTTACACCGAAAATAAACCCCGAAAACCACAAATTATTCCACCATAACATAATCAAAATCCTCACCCTTCCAGTTAACCCCTTCCGTGATATTTTGCTTTTTCTTTACAAGTCTCGATAGATACACCCTTGAAGTTGCTATAGAGGAATTTCCAAAAGTCAATTGAACCCTTCACAGACGAACGTCGACATTCTGGCGATATCAGATGTTCATGCTTGCAACACTCGAACAAATGATTTAATTACTAGAACAGCAGGAGATCAGTACGTACTTTCCCTTTTCCAATTATCCAAGCAATCGATATATCATTTAGCTTCTATATTCAAAAGAATCTTCGTCCGCAAAGGGTTAACACGTTGAATGCCGTGGGGGTCACCGGTGACCCCGAACCAAATTGAATTACTATAGTTCATTCAATTAAATACTGATTATTTGAAACCGTTTCTATATTATAAATAATTCTACCTAATGCGGTGACCTTCAGCTAGGTGAATATGTAATAATAATAATACAATTCAATCGAATGATTTAATATCATACTTTTTCCATTTTGTGTGTTTTGCTCTATGAAATCGTGTGGCGTTCGTTCATTCAATTAAACGTTGATTATTTGAAACTATTTCTATATTATAAATAATTCTTCCCAATGCGGTGACCTTCAGCTAGGTGAATATGTAATAATAATAATGCAGTTCAATCAAATGATTTAATATCATATTTTTTCCATTTTGTGCGTTTTGCTCTATGAAACCATGTGGCGTTCAACGTGTTAAACAAAGTCTCCACTCAGCTTCGCTCGATGGAGACACGAATTATCGGGACCGCGGAGTATTGTTTAAATTTCGTTTCACGAATTTCAGCCAGCGTTGTGTAGGCCCGAGCAGGTTCGATGGGAACAGAGCAGCGGAAAGGAGGCGAGGCGAGGCGAGGGCGTCAGGCAGATGCGGCGTTAGGAAAACCCGAGGGAAATACTGGGAGCTCCGCGCGTCCCGTCGTTTCTGGTCATTTTTCCCTTTTATGCGTTCCATTCGTTCGTGTCAGTTGGCGGCGAGCCGGGTGTGCGTGCCGGAGGAGCCGTGAGGCCGACGGGACAGGTCGAATAGTGTCCTTTGAATATTTAGAAGAGCGCGGACATATTTTATTTAGACCGGCAAGGAAACACCGACGTCTGCCTCGCTCTCGAAACACTCGCTACTCGCTACGACACTTTTGTTGGCCCCCCTCCACCCTCCGTCCTTTTGTCCCACGACGCCTCTGAATAATTTTTATCGCTTTCCGGATGTCACGGCCTCGCCAGCTCGTTCGTCTCCGAACGCCTGCCACTGGAAGTCGGCTGCTCGCCCGTTTCCACCGTGGAACGTAATTATCGTTCGAGAGATTTTGGACATTTCCAGATAGATGTCGGATGGTTTCCAAGTCTCCGTTGGAGAGAGGATTTTTGAAAAATGAACGATATTTGCGCTTGGGCGTAAAGTTTCATCGTTGATACTTTGAATCTTGAAGGTGGTAGTGAAGGATTGGAATTGAATGTGGAATACGTTGGTGGTAATTGCTATTTTGCTGAAGAGCTTCGAGTTGTATAGTGAAATACCTTTTGAAGAAGATATATAGAGAAGTCTCGTCTATGGCATCTTTCTTTTTTAAATGGAGATTTGCTCTATTATTCAATCGAACGTGTAGTCTATACTGATTCAAAAATATCAATCTAGGTACTAACTCTTTGCAGGTGACTCTCAGGCACCACCTGATTTGATGAAGTAAAATTATAAAATTTGATATTTAATATTGGACCGTGTGTAATGCATCGGTGCGTGAAATATTGAGATAAAAGAGCTTTGTTTCTCAATTTACTCGTGATTTCTCTTTGAGTTAATTTCAAAAGATATTATCCTCGTCTAGTCGGAAAATATTAAGTATTTCCAACGAAATACTTCCTAGTGCAAAGGACTAATCCAGATTACTAGATATTAATCTAGATTAACCTTGCACTCATCTCGTTAGGCAATCTCATAAATATCATTCCTTACGAATTCCTTACTTCAAAGGCGCAAAATATTTTCCAAAGTAGCATTAACGAACGAACGAAGGGAATAAACAATACACACGTTCAATACTTCGACGACTAAAACATATCAATTGTTTACACTAGAAGTTCACATAGAAACATCCCGACTCACAGGAGACCCAATAAATCAGATCCTTAAATATTCAAAGTATATTCCCCACCTTCCAAAGAAGCAAAAAAGAGCAGTCGATCAACCAGCTGCGAGACGTCCTTCCAAGATCGCGGCAGTCGTATCGTCTCGCTGAACGCTCGCCAAAGTCTCCGGGGAGACATTATACAAATTCCAGCCGGACTCCGGACAGACTAAAGTGGCACAATAAACGATCCGACCGTCCCTGGGCCGCCACCGAGCACTTTTATCGAATCCGGACGCGATCCCGTCGCAATTACTGGCGGCGTTCGTCACCGGAGACGAGGGGAGTCGATAATAAATTCGAGGATGGATCCCTTTCAATTTCTAAGCGAGCACGGTTACACACGAGGTGTGTAAATTAAGCAACGAGACTGATTTTTTCTAATTTCTTTATCGAAATAAAATTACGATTCTTCCATTCCTAGCAGTGCTGACACTCGGACACTGGAATAGCCTTCAGTTCGTCGGTTACCTTTGAATATTTTCCAATGTCCCAAAATGACGTCCCTTGAGGTGATTTTTCAATCTTGGGAACAGAAAAAAGTCACATAGACTTAAGTCGCGTGAATAAGGAGCCTGAGGAGCCACAGGAATATTTTCACTGGCCCAAAACTCATTGATAGAAATCGCGGTGGGACAAGAAGCATTGTCATGATGCGACACCCACATGTTTTTGACAATTGGTCTCACGCATGACCCTTTTTCGAAGTCTCTCTCGAACTTCTCGGTAAGAATGTTGATTAACCGATCATTCGGACTGTCGAACGACGATCCGAACGCACGAGATCGCGGATTCTGCCATTTTCATTTCTTCTTGAAGATGAAGGCCTTCGCGAGGCTCGTCCTGCTTCTCTTCCTTCTAAAAATGCCTTGCACCACCTAAAAACCTGGGCTCTCGACAAAACACTGTCTGCATAGTCCTTACGCAGTTTTTTAAATGTTTCCGTCGCACTGTGTCCCAGTCTGACGCAGAACCCGATAGCACAACGTTGTTCGAGATTGATGTCACTCGTTTTTACGCACTAAAACAACCTTCCTCGCAAAAAAATTCACTACGGACAGCGCAACAACTCCAGCGCGTTGAAACTCGTACTGGACGCGTATCGGATGTTCAGTTGCCTACCCTCCGCGTGCCGCGTCCCCAGTATCGCTGGATCGAACACTGGAAAATCGGTCTCGTTACTTAATTTACACACCTCGTATTTCCTGGATTATTCAATCTACCGGGGACAAGCTCAACGCGCAATCGCATCTCGGGGCTCGAAGCGAATAATTGCAATCAGAATGAATTAATTAACCGGCGCAATAGGGGTAACCCTAATCTATCGGCAAGGGGACGCCGAGCGACCGGCGCGAGGGTCATAATTCAAAGCGTCTTCTCGCGCGGCTGCTTCTCGGGAACGTTGATAAACTATACACGATTTAACGATTTGAACCGTTCGGCCACCTTATCCGTGAAATTTCCGATGCATCCCGCGGTGATCGGTGAACATCGCGCAAAGTACGGTTCAATTTTTCCATCCGCGCCCCACGATAACTGCGAACTCGAATTCTCGAGGAACTCTTCCCGCTGGTAAAGTGGGAAAGTCCTTTATAGTCGCTTCGGAATCTCCCCTGTCGATTTTCTTTTCGGAGAAATTCAATCTTCCCTGTCTTTTATTGCTGCTGAACTTAACCATTCAGAAGCTTAAGAGGGAGGAGTTATACGCCGATTCGATGCAGCTTCTCGTAGCAATCGGGCTTCGATGCGGGGAGCAATCTTTCCAAGATTATCTTCGGATCATCCTTTGCCGATTTTAAGTACCCCGAGAATCAAGAGTGCTGTTCGATTTGAGATGTTTTAACCCCTTGGCCTGTGATCTCTTTCTCAACTCTGATCGATACGGCTACTTTGTCGTTAATTTATTGGGAAAAGAGGAAAATTCTAAGCGTATGTTATGCCTATGTTTCCTTTTGAGTATCATAGTTGATTACAGGGGAATAATATTTACTTTGAATTCGAATGAATTGAGTAATGTATATATTTGTTGAATCATGTTGAAAATCTTCACCACGAGTCTCGTAGGACAATGGGTTAACCCCTTGGCATATGATCTCTCAACTTTGATGGGTACAGCTACTTTGTGATTAATAATTTACTGGAAAAAGAGAAAAATTCTAAGCTTATGTTGATTCAACAAATATATATATTACTTGGTTCATTCGAATTCAAAGTAAATATTATTCCTCTGTGATCAACTATTATACTTCAAAGGAAATATAGGAATAACATAAGCTTAGAATTTTTCTCTTTTGAAAGTATTCACCATAAGTCGTTGTAGGGCAAGGGGTTAATGGAAGTTTCAGTGAATGATACGTCCAAAAATCGTCTGAGATAGGAGACAAAGTAATCTTCGATGGATCGTTAATTAAAGATAGAATAAATCCAAGTGTCAATTCACTTTGAAATTTAATGTCAACGAAACGAGTTTGACAACATTTGTCAGGTGACCAACCGTTCAGACAAATGGAAGCTCAAGAAGAAATTCCTGAAAGAATTTCTGAATTACTGATTGCAGCTCTATTAACCGTTCGATTCCCATGAGAAATTTCAAATGAAATTTCCATCTGAAGTAGAATGGAAAATTTTGTTGTATTTCTTCCAAATTGTCGTTAGTAAAATATTACACGAGCTTAGTTGCGAAAGTAAATAGTACGTCAAGGGGTTAAGAGGAAGCGCGGCCCAGGATGAAGGAGATCCGGCGTCCGTGGGACATGGATAGACTCGATGGCGGGAAATGAAGAGAAGTATGCGTTAATTAGGGTCGGCGCTGGCAATTTGTGGATTTGTGGCGAGCCTGATGCATACCGCCGATGGCCGGGCCCGAGCGCAGTTCCGGCGCTGGCCTGTTCCCTGTTATTCGTCTACGGTTAACCCCTTCGTTTGCTGGCAGTTTTGTGCTTGCTTCACGCGGGCCTACGATCTTTGGTCAATTAACGCATTGCGTACTGGCAACGGGAAATCTCGTTTTCATGTGAAGACACTTAGCTATGCAACTTTGCTAATCACCGTAGCATTGGAAGAATATAGAATTTAATTCGAATTGATTATCTATTTGAAATAGATTACATAACAATATGATATCTGAGTTTTTCTGTGTATAGTGATATAATATGACCTCAGTGAAAATTTCCATCCGCACAATTCAGTTTTCTGAAAATTAGCAATTACAGTGTGTTAATACATTGCGTACTGGCAACAAGAAATCTCGTTTTCATATGAAGACACTTAGCCATGCAGTTTTGCTAATTACTGTAGTACTTAGAAAAATATGATATTTGATTCAAATTGATTATCTATTTAAAATAGATTACATAACAATATGATAACTGAGTTTTTGTATGTATAGCAATATAAGTTGATCTCACTGAAAATTTCAAATTTTTAATTTATTTATTTTCTGTCGATGGGATCATCGAGGAAAAAACAAAATATCTTGATGAATTAGGGTTTCTTGAAAGATGGCGCTGTATTTTAGGCATGAGACGAAGAGGTTTGAGAATCTTTGAACAGGGAGGCATGATAGTTGAGTATTCCTTCGATGAAGAGACGTGAATAAGTTTGTGGACTTAATAATGCCAGTATTTTGTTATAAAACGAACTATAATAATTTTCAAAGTATATAGTCCTATAGAAATATAGATAATCGTAGAGGAAAATAGACAAGTCTAGGAAAAGTTTGCTTTTAGAATGGAATAATGAATCAGTTTTCGTTCAACTAAGACGAAGACTAAACGTGTGTTCAGTACAATTAATCGAGACGTGATCAACAGCTACATTAGTTTGTTTCATAAATATTATTTATCATTTTATCCAGTCGAATCTGTATATAGTTATCATTGCCAATTCCATTCCTAATATTTGGAAGAATTTCAAAGAAAATCCGAGGGGAACACGTACAACAAACAGAGTAACCAATAGAAAGAAGCACAGAGAATCTTACAATACACTCGTAATCATGGAAACTAAATCAAGAACGTTCCGCGGAACGCAGCGAGCCCCAAGGAGTCACGAATACAAGAAACACGAGTGCACGTTGTAATAGAAGCTCGACAAAGAAAGCTCGAAGACAACGAACAGGCACAAAGTACCATCCCAGTTACCAGCGCGACGTCCTCCCCTGTCCGTCAGTCGCAAGAAGAGTGGTCGTTGACGTCGGTTGGCCTTTTCATCAGTCGAGGGATCATGCAATTCGACTTCAGCCCCGGTGATTGCGTCCGTACACCTCCTAATCCCATGTCCGACCGCTGCGGACAAGTTTCCCGGCACTCCTGTTTATTCCGCTCGAATTAAACGGAGGACGCAGCGCTTATTTTCCGCGGCGCGGGCTATCCGGGACGGTATTTACATTTGATCAATTCCGAGCGAACGACAGAGGACGCGAGAGGGATCCAGCTGGTACGGACCCTGAACCTCGCGTTAGAAAGAAACTTCCTTCCACCTGCAGAGAGGAAAGTTTTTCGTCGTCGCGGTCGCCTCGGCTGTCGCCGCGATGAACCCGGTCGCGCGACCCGGGAAATTGTCCCCGGAGCAACTACATTCGACGAACGGGTAGAGATGGCGCGATTATGTTAAACGACGCGGCCGTTAGTGCGCACCAACTTTTCGTTTCGTTCCGCCGGTAGACCACCGGCATCGGTTCCCCTCCGGGTCATCGAAATTTTAGTGGGCTCCGGTGTTTCGGCTGGTTTTCTCGGTGAACGTTTGCGGAGGATTGATCTTAAGTTAAATCTTTGCACTTTGGGGCGCCTCTCCAGCTGCGTCTCGTTAGGAAATATTCAATTTAGCTTTTAGAGTTCCAAATTTTTGGAATTATTGAAATGGAGGATGGAGGTTTGTGTCTTTAAAGTCTGAGTCAGTTTCGGTGTTCCGGCTGATTTTAGGAACCGTTTTCTTGGTGAACGTTGGTGGAGGATTGATCTTGAGTTAATTCTTTGCACTTTGAAGGCGCTTCTCCAGCTGCGTCTCATTGGGAAATATTCAATTTTGCTTTTAGAGTTCCAAATTTTTGGAATTATTGAAATGGAGGATGGAGGGTTGTGTCATTAAAGTCTGAGTCGGTTTCGGTGTTTCGGCTGGTTTTAGGAGCGATTTTCTTGGTGAACGTTTGTGGAGGAATGACGATTGACCTTAATCCTTTGAACTCTGTAGGCTCCAATATTGCACCAGTTATAATACTAAATATTTTAATGAATCTTAAAGAAACTACCCTAAAATTATTAGATTCTCCAAGCATCCAAATTTTGTATTGAGAAGGAAAATAAATGATCGAAGAACTGTTATAGCATTTCTCATTTTCGCTAGGAATACTATAAAAATTAGTAGTTGCTGATATATTACAAAACAACCTAGAATGCTAAGGATTAAGTTAACACTTTTATTCAATTGAAAGCTTATAGAGTGTGAAGGTTTATGTTTGTAAATATGCAAACAAAGGTTTATGTTTATTAGGATTTTGAAGTAACAATCCTCAAGACGTGGATTTGTGGAAGTCACTGGTTACATGAGGCTCGTCGATGACTGGACAACGATTATAATTTCTTTTTACCATAAGCTACTTATAGTTGCAGAGAATTCCTATAGAAAATAAGTCGCGTAACACTAGAACTACAAACTGAAGATAAACAGTTCCACTTGAGTACTATAATGACTGTCTGAAGAAACCGAAAATAATCTATTGTTACAATTTTTATAGGAATTGCATATTAATCGTATTACATGTTCTAGTGTTAAGTCGAATTCCTTAACTCAAGAATACCATAATCTAAGTCAAACCTCCTAACCCCAGAACACAACTCCATCAACTAATTTCTAATCCCCATCCGAACGGTAATTTAAGTTGAATAATATCTCCACTAATTCCCTCGCGAAGCAAACAAGTGAAACAACAGCATCGGTAAAATCACTCGAAGACGAGCCAATTGCATGATCGATCAACGGAGATTGGCATAATCGCGTATCGCGTCTTGAAATCTTGCAGACCCGTAACCCATGTTCGTTGATGTTAAAGTCTCGCCGCTGATCTTCGTACCGAATCAGCTGGTCGGCGCGCCAGCTGGCACCAACGCGACGATCGACTGCCACACGGAGGCGTTCCCGCGCGCGATGAACTACTGGTACTTCGGCGAGGAGATGGTGCTCTCGAACGATAAGTACACGACGAACATCATGGAGAACAGTTACAGGGTGCACATGAAGCTCACCATCACGAACGTGCAGGATAGCGACTTCGGGCTCTACAGTTGCATCAGCAAGAACTCGCTGGGCGAGACCGAGGGCTCTATTAGGCTGTACGGTAAGATGATGAACGATTTGCGCCTCGAGTTTCTCGCGCGCGCCGCTCGTACCTTCGCCGTAACTTCTCACGGGAAACTTCACACGCGACTTGCGTGAAATCTGTTTCGGGCGATACTAGTAACGTAGGTGTTTTTTATTTTATTTTCATTGAGGTAAGATGATATTCTTTTATTGACGATTCATTGGGGAATAAGGGTAGACGATAAAATGCAGTTGATATGATTCAAATGTTGACAAGTTTGAGATGAAATTTCTATGTTTGGAATATTATGTCGCGAATTAATGATTTTTGTTTCGGTCGATACTAGTAAAGTCGGCTTTTTGTCCTTCTGATTGAGGTCAGGTTAGACGATGAAACACAGTACACATGATTATTAATCTTTTGTTGACGAATGTGACAGTTTGAGATGAAACTTCTTTGTTTGGAATATTAAGTTGGGAATTAATGATTTCTGTTTCGATCGATACTAGTAATGTAGGTTTTTTTTATTTTCTTTTGATTGAGGTAAGGTTGGATGATGAAACGCGGTTGACATGATTAACCCTTTGTTGACGAATGTCGATATTTAGAGATGAAACTTCCATGTTTGGAATATTCCAAATAAATATTGAAATGGTAAAGAATGTAGGTTAATTAGTTAAGTAGTCGATGTGTGACTTAGTGGAAACTGCGGAAGGTTTGATGTAGTTTAAAGAATCTTCGTCTATAAAGGGTTAATAAGTGATAGGAAGTATTGTATGGAATATAAAGAAGATTAATTGTGAGATTACTTTTTTTTTAATAGTGATTAATTGAGTAGGGAGTGATGAGGTTAGAGAGTAGTGGAACGTAGTTGTAATGATTGTTAATAAATTATTGACTAGTGATTAATCAGGAGATAAGGGGTGGTTTTTCGAATTACGTAGAAATAATTAGTGATACAATGTTTTTGTTTATAATTTAATTGTACAGCGAAGAGGAAAGAAAGGAACGTGTATTTTACAACAGTTGTAATCAATTGCTGCTAATTAATTATAATTGCCGATGACGGCACGCATATTCTTTTGTCATTTAGCGAACGTACGTAGTAATAAACCGATACAGAGTGCAAATTACGCGTGATAACATTTAGCAATAATATTCGAAACTGATTCAAAATATCAAAATAACGAGCGCCGATGAATCAATAAATTATTCGAAGTAAATGAACAAATGGAGGCAAATAGGGTGAAGTTCAGCATCAATATTTGACTCTAATTAAATTACCGGTTGAGGTAGCAAATTTCCTGTGAAAATTACCTTTCCTAAATCTTGTTTCCGGTAAATTGATACTATCGGAGCGTGCGTGCATTTGCTATTTGGTTTTCAATCGCAAATTAACATTAATTGGTGAATACATGATCTCCCGTCGTTCGAAAAATCTATTAAAAATACCCTGACAGCAATTCACCATTTACATGATAATACCGTCCATATTACACAGATTCGAACAAAAATTTCAACATCTACGTCATCCCTTCGGTAAATTATTAATAATTCCTATAGAAACCTTCACAAAAGTCAATCATAAAAAAAACACCATAAATCATTTAATTTCAAGACATAATCATCTTTCAAATATTACGAAAATAATCACCAAATATCGTGCCATTAAATGTTAACCCTTTGCACTCGAGAGGTGACTCTCTCACCACGTGATTCATACAGTAAAACTATAAAACTTGATATTTAATATTATATTTCGTATTAACCCTCTATGGGCCGAATTTTTGTTCATTATAACAAAATCTATGCAGTACAAAATAAATATCCACATATTTATTCAATATCTATCAATTCAATAGTTCCAATAATTTCAACAAACGAATATATTTTGTAACTTTCCAGTTACAATGACGTTAAACTTTCACGTCTGAGCGTATAAAAGTTGAAGTTAACTGATTATTTAATTTTATTCACTTTGAGTGCAGAATAAAATAAATCAACAAGATGCCAACATACTGACACGTGACTTCAAAGTTACATGGAGCTACAGAGGGTTGATGCATCAATTTGAGAAACATTGAAATAAAATATCTTTGTTCCTCAATGTACGTGTGATTTCTCACCGAGTTAATTCTACAAAATATTTTTATCTCATCAGAAAATATTAACCCCCTATGGGCCGAATTTTGTTTCGCGACTACAACAAAATTTACGCAGTATGACATTAATAAATATCAACATATGCACAGAAACTAAAAATGTATTCAATAGTTTTAATAGTTTCATTAAAACGAATATATTTTGCAACTTTGAAGTTACAACGACGTTGAACGTAAACGCCTGCGTGTATAAAAGTTCAAGTTGATTAATCATTTAACGTCATCCGTCATTTTGCAATAAGAAATTAAATAAATCAATTTAACCTAGTCTACTGATGTGTAACTTCAAATTTACACGGACTTCTAGAGGGTTAAAATATTTCCAGAGAAAAACCTCCGAGTGCAAAGGGTTAATAAAACAAAAGAATCATTTAGGAGCAGCTAATGTAAATCCACCGCCGAAAGTCCGTCGCACGTTGAAAAAGGGGTACCAACAATCTTACGGGGAAAAAGCTCCGTCAAGGAGCAAGGAACTCATAAAATTTCACAAAGCGCCCCGCGTCGAGGATCGTTTAGCGCGCCTTTGAGCTCTTTCCCAGCTCGATTCTCGAACAAAGTTCGATTCGCCGGCCGATCGGTTATTCAACCGCCGTTATAAACCTAAAATCAATCGGCCGAAGCGAATCGACCGATCGAGAAGGGCCGGGGTACGGCTCAAAGGCGATTAAACAGCTCAACAGTCGGCTGAAGCTCGATAATTTTTTATTTCAGGAATCGCGAAGCCGTCCGCGGCGCCGAAGGCCACGGAGATCAAGAGCAGCGCCAACAAAGAAGGTGAGATAGCCTCATTGAATTTATCCCGCGAGTCCGGCACCGCGATCGATCCGTCGCGTCGATGTAGAACTCAAATGCTTCCCACTTCGAGACGAAACTATAATTGTTAGACAGCGGATTTTACGTTCGCGGTGAATATTGAGTTCGAAGTACGAAGAATGTTTCTAAAAGTTAATGCTTTCGTTTTCGATTAAAATTCTTGACACTTTTATTTGAGACAGATATTTACACTAGAACTACGGAATGCGTCGCAGTGATCCATTTCTGATCACTTCGAGAATGCTTTCGTTTTTAATTAAAATTCTTGACACTTTTATTTGAGACAGTTATTCACTAGAACTACCGAATTCGTGCAATGATCCACTTCTGATCACTTCGAGAATACGTCGCAATGATCATTTTCTGATCACTTCGAGAATGCTTTCGTTCTTTTCTATTTATATTTATTTATAGTCGCATCAACACTCGAGTCAAATGCTTTCGTTTTCAATAAAAATTCTTGACACTTTTATTTGAGACAGCTATACACTAGAACTACCAAATGCGTCGTAATGATCCAAGTCTGATCTCTTAAAGATTTCTTAAAACATTGCAAGAGTTGATGTAGCGATACTCAAAATTGGATAAATTCCTTGATATCTTGATAGATTTTCGGAGTTACAGGAAAACAGATGAAGTGCTTGATAATCCCTCGTGTAATCAATTGAACGTCATAATTATCAACTTTTCAAAAGATCTTTCGTAAGCGTAAAAGGCGTTAAAGCAATGAGGAATGAATCTATACTAATGATTCCTCGGTTTTTATAACCTAATTACAAACGAAGAAGAACAAGGAAGCAAACGAATAGAATTGTTAACAGAAATCGTGTACTTAACCATTAATCATCGGACATTCCTAAAAATGTTGACTTTGCAAAGTCCGCTGTCTACTAATTATCCGCGTTTTATTCTCGATTCGCGGGGATCAGCCTGTATCTCTCGCTAAAAACGAACGGAGAAGGTGGCAGGTGTGCGTGCTGGGATCTCGGCACCGGAAAAACACCGTTGAAATTAAACTGGCCGGCTAAACGGCTGGATTAAGCCCGGTCCGCGCGGCTTTTCTTTCGAGAGTAAGAGCGGAAAAGTTCGCGATGGTCCGCTCCTATAAATCAGACTTTTATCGTCCTTGCTCGAACGATTACTGAACGCTTCGGACGACCAATGCGGCGGACGGAATAATTCCGCGCGAAGATCGAGATGTTTGCTCTGCCAGTCCAAAGAATTTCAGTCCGTCGCCGCGTATTCGCGCAGTGCGGCCGAATGGCCATTTGTTAACGGAGTTATACGATTTAAACTTACAAAATACAAATTTTTTTTAATTACTTATTGAAATTATCGAATAACTACATAAATTTAAATGAATTAAGTCTATATAAATTTTTACTCCGATGTGTCGATAGAGATAGGTATACAAGAATTTTTTTAATTACTTATTGAAATTATTGAATAACTACAAGAATTTAAATGAATTAAGACTATATACATTTTTACTCCAATGTGTCGATAGAGATAGGTATACAAGAATTTTTTTAATTACTTATTGAAATTATTGAATAACTACAAGAATTTAAATGAATTAAGACTATATACATTTTTACTCCAATGTGTCGATAGAGATAGGTACACAAGAATGTCGGTGAACCCGGTGTTAAATATCGTCGACGTGGGGTTAATCAGCAAGATGAAAAAAATGGTAGGACAAGGGATTAAACCGTTCGGGCGGATATCGTGTAGCGATTTGGCCTCCTTTCTCTCGCCAGTTTCCGCTGAATCTCTCTCTCTCCCTCTCTCCGATTCGCTGGGGAAGCTTTCACCGTCGACTGGTAAAAGACCGCGGTATTTTCTACTTAAAACGTCGTTCCTGGGTAATTCTTCCGCTATTTTAAGTATCGCTCATCGCCGCGGCATTATGCAAATCCGCGTCACCCGCGGACAATCTCGGCGAACCGGGATCGAGCGGAAGAGCCTGCCGGCCAAGAATTTCATTAGTCGGAAGTTATGGGGGAATCTTCTACGAGGGGGAACTGCGACCAGGGGGACCTTGGATTGGCTTCGGGATGCGGAAGTTTAGAGAAATGATGCTTCCTCTGCGTGAAGGTCGAATAATTGAGCAACAATTGGGACGAAATTAATTTTCAGTAATTGGGAATATGGTATATCAAATGAACCTGAGATTATTGGAAGAATGACGATTTTATATTGAAATTCTAGTAAATATTACCTCTTGGAACAGTTGAAATATTAAAGCCTATGGAATATTTAATTCTAGGAATTCTGATATAATAATCTTCACAAGCAATGCATTTTCAAACTCTTCGATTCACATAGAACCATTGCTCAAACGTCTCTCAATAAATCAACCCCTACGACAGAACGCTTCAAACTTCAACAAACACAAATTCTATCTTCTATTCCATCTAAAAATCGTTGACAACACATCGATCAATTTCCTTTCTAAACAACAATCTCAAACAAACCTATACCAATCAGTATATGGACAGCAGGGATGAAATTTAATTCATGAGCGATGTATTATTGAAACCCCCAATTCCAATCCTGCAGGAATCGATTCGAGTACTATTGCTCAAACATCTCTCAACAAATCAATTCTTACAACATAACACTCCAAACTTCAACAAACAAAAATTCTATCTTCTATTCCATCTAAAAATCGTTGACAACACATCGATCAATTTCCTTTCTAAACACCTAAACAACAATCTCAAACACACCATCGACAGCAGAGATGAAATTTAATTCG